ATAGTGAATAAAAATGAAAAGACTGTTGAAGCTTCGTTATTTTGACAGAAATAATCCAGACTGAGCTCAAACTGGAACGTTTGGCTGATTTAATATCAGCCTGCAGTGAAAATAAAGAATTTCTGGTTTCAGCTGCTCAGAGTTCATAAAACATTGAACTGTAATATTCATTAGAGGAGCTGCTGAGTCCGTTTGAAGGTCTGACTCCAGGTGTTTCTGGATCTTTAATCTGCTGCAGGTTTGATCCTTCAGACTCATTCAGCAGGTTATTCCAGAGATCCGTCTGAAGCTGGTTTCTGAAGCGTTGTGGATCTGGACTCTGCAGCGCTCTGCTAGCCACCAGGTGCAGCATCTGCGTCAACAAATGGCTGTGGGTTATTCTCAGCTCCGTGTCCTCATTAAAACATTCCCCAAAGCGCCGCCGTAAATCGCCCTGGGCTGCGTGTTTGGATGTCTAATTAGGCGGCGCGGCGCAGCCTCGGCCCTGGCTTGTGTGTCACTTTAATGAGGCAATTAGAGATATTAGGGATATTGTATCTGGACTATCGGGAGGTTTTCAGGGAAGTGGAGGGCAGAGAAAGGACAGAGGTGTTGGGTTGCAGGTTGTCGGACCGGCTCAGAGGAGAAAGGACAGAGAAACTTGTCTTAGTGTCCCATGAAAAGTCAAGAAGTTACTTCCTGACTTTCGAGCAGACTCACAAAAGCTGGGAAAACTTTGTGTTTTCATGCTAATGCGCTAACAGCAGAGCTAGTTCCTAGCTTAGTGCTTTAGCTAACTTTAAAAACATTTTTCCTTATAAAGTCTAAAGTGCTAATTTACTTGGTATGTTTTTAAACTTCAAGTTAAATAAAGTTCAACATGTGAGTTGAAGTTTTGGGTAAGAATAATTCAACTAGTTAGCTTGTTATTTACCCAAAATGCATCGCTGCAGTCCTACAGTAAACAGTCTAACATCGACTTTAGAGTTAGCAAAACTCAACAATTATGAGACTGAAGACATGAGTGAAAGGTTATGAATTTAGCTCCTTGGTGTTAGCATTGGCTAAACATGTTACTTTAGCTATTAGCAGTAGTTTAGCTAATGTTTCTGATTAGTGCTTTAGAGTTAGCTTAGCTAGCTTTTTTCTGTTGGTTCTGTTGGTTCTGTTGGACTCGCTGGAAGTTAATCTCTGCAGGTTTTTCTGTGACTCACTGAGAGTCAAGAGCTGCAAATTGCATCTGTTCCTAATTAAAGAGTGCTAATGAAAGCCCGTTCTCCTGGTGGGCCCGGTGGGCCCGTTGCCGCCCGGCCCGGCGGGTCGCCACGACGCTCCAGAGAAGGAGGAAGAGGAGGAGGAAGAGGAGCCGGCCCGACTCAGCGGCTGAAGGTCGGCTGTTCGGTCCGCACGTTGCTCCGGTTCCAGCAACCTGCTGCAGCAGCCGCAACATTTAAAGCAACCAAGAGTCAAACTGATTGATCTGAACAGAAACTATTAATTAAAACTTTTAAATATAAACGGCTGATTCAAACAGGCGGAAAACGATTCTATAAAGTTCAAACAGAAAAGGAACTGTTATGTTTTTATTTCTAGAAATTATTTTAAGTTAAGAATATTTCACAAAACAGCAACGGAAAAACTTACATCGCGCCACGAGTCACATGATGAACAACCGGATGTTACTACTGGTGGAAAACAGGAAGAGACAGGAAACAGGAAGTGGAGCAGCGTGATTCATCAATGATTTATCCAGTGAAGAAACTTATTCACAGCTGATTTTCATTTCATTTCCACAACTATAAAATACATTTTTTGACCTTAGAAGAATATGACAACGTAAAAAAAGGGAAGTTTCTGCCAAAAATGTCAGAAATTTTTTGATAAATCTCACACCTTTTCTCTAAAAACATGGTGATTTTTCAGTCTGAAAAGTGGAAAATGTTTGACTTTTGGAGTTCTGACATTTAAAAAAAAATACAATTTCCAGTATTTTGGGGAAAATTTTCTCTTTTTTTTCTATCTATAATGACTCTAATAAGCCATCATACTAACAAGTTTGATAATTAAGAATTGTGCAATTACGTATATAAGTTAAAATTTAAACACATAAATCTGCTGCTGTGTCCTAAAAACATGAAGTATATGACAGTTTTTCCTCTAACTTTTTTCTGGACGTCCGTCTTTAGATTCTGCTAACAGATGGTGTGGCGATCGACTCCCCCTGGTGGCCTGGAGGCTAACGTGTTGTTTTATTCTTGTTTTTGTTTGTATTTCCTGCAGTTGCAGCGTTTTGTTGTTTTGTTTGAATTATTTTGTGTTTTGGAGATTAGCATCATTTAGGTTTTAGCCCCTGCAGGCCACCGTAGTCTAAACAGAGACGACTCCAGGAAACTGGTCATGTCCTCTGATCCAGGTCCAACTTCAGACAGGAACCGGTTCCTCCAGAACCTCAGAATCAGAGGAGCAGGGAGGTTCTGCTGGTCGGTTCGGGTTGGTTCGGGTCAGATCGGGTCGGCCTGTTGGCTCTGGGAGCAGCAGAATAAACTCCAGCAGGGATTCTTGATGTTTCAGATTCATTTTCAGGTTTAATGAGACGGATGGAGCGGGCTGTGTGTGTGTGTGTGTGTGTGTGTGTGTGTGTGTGTGTGTGGAGGTGCTGCCAGCGCTACAGGACTTTTTAATTACAACTCCACATCCCAGCCTGCTGACGTCTGGGGAACCGCTTAATTAAAATCCTCATTATTTTACTTTTAATTAGTTCCCCTCCTTTGTTTCCTCTCTCCATATGGCAGCGCTCTCCGGTCAGATCAGCTTAATTGAGCTAATTAAGTTGATCAGTTTAATTATTCAAAGTGTTCTGATTGGTTGGAAGAGTTACTGATTCAGACTTACTCTTTATGATTCCCAGTGTATCCATTCAACCCGACAGAACCAGAACCAGATGGTTCTGTTCTGGAAACATGGACTGATGGATCCTTTAAATCCAGAACCGCTTCACACCAAAACAATTAATGAGAATTTATTAATATTTAGGATTTATTACGCACTTATGTTAGCTTCAGACTAAATATTTAGGTAGCTAATATGAAGTTAGCATGCTAACTAATAAGCTGTAAATTAAATATTTTCTAAGCACTCAGTTTGAAGCTAAATATTTAGTTAGCATACTAAATATTTAGCTTCAAAAAGCATGCTACCCATGCTAACTAAATGTTTAGTTTGCAACGTTAATATTTAATTTCACCAGTTAAGTTAATGTGTTAACAAACATGACTAAATACAGTTTAGTAGATTTAGTTTACTAAATAATGCTAATTTTTTTCTTAGCAATCAAAGTTCTTTGTTTTAAGCTGCATGCTAAATATTTAGATTCAAACTAAATATTTGGTTAGTATGCTAAGTATTTTGCTTGAAGCTAAATATTTTGTTAGCAACTCTAGATATTTAGCTTTAAACTTAATATTCAATTAGCTAACTAAATATTTAGTTGTCATTCTAACCATTAAGCTTCAAACTAAATATTTAGTGACAGATCTAAGTACTTTGAAGCTAAATATTTAGTTAGCATGCTAGATATTTAGCTTCAAATAAAATATTTCCTAACTGTTAAACATTAAATTAGCATGCTAGGTAAATCTTTCCTTTAAAACTGTTTTCTGGGTGAAACTTCGGCTCTTTATCCATGAAGTGGAACTGATTTCTACAGATGTTTGTTGAATCAAAAGTTTAAATCGTTTCTTGTTGTTCAGGCAGCAGAGAGACGATGGATCCGGGTCGGATGGTTCAGAACCGCTCTGAGCGCTCCGCCTGGTGACCTGAAGGCAGCGCCAGGCGATGGGGAGAAGTCAGTCATTACCTCTGTGTCTGCGCTCAGGAGAAGCAGAAGACAAATTCATTACAGCATGCTAATCAGTTTAGCCGCAGCATGCTAATCAGTTTAGCCGCAGCATGCTAATCAGTTTAGCCGCAGCGATCTTCATGTGTTGGTTTTGGCGGCGGGGTCTGCCGCCTGACGAACCGCCTCGTCTCACGCAGCTCAGAAATGATTAGCAGCAAAACGAAGACACAGAGGAAAAGGTCAAAGGTTAAAATCCAGATCCATAAAGACAAAGAGGATTTGTTTTTCTCTCTATAAAAATGTTTAGTTTTTCTTTTTAGTGGGTTGAGAATGAAAACTTCCTGAGGCTGCAGGAGCAAAACGCAACGTCCTGCAGAACAAGAACAATCTGGAAATAAATCCGATGAATAAATAAACCCTCCGTCACAAAAGCAAAAATTATATAAGATCATAAAAATTATAGATCTAAAATCTGAAGTTTTTATTATGGATTCACGATAAATCGGAATCAGTCCGATAAAACTGGGTCCAGTGACACAGCAAAGGATTGTGGGAAGTTTCAGTCAAACGGCGATGACGTCGGCGTTCAGTGAGATACATTTATAAAATCTGTAGAAATCAGTTTTCAGCCACAACAGGAATATTTATATTCATCTCGATGCTTCTCCTGTTTTTATTCATTTCTGAAATATTTTCTGCTTTTTGTTAGAGAAACAGCAGATTAAATAAACTCTGATCCATGAATGTCAGTTTGGTGATTTATTCAGACGTTTTATTGCAGTTAATTCAACACAAAAACTCAAATCGCAGCTTTATGATCTTTTATCGTTCTGATGATGTAATTAGCTTAATAAAATAGCTTTCAGTTGAAAGTTGTTTGGAAACGTTTGTACAGATTTTCCCTTTAAAAAGAAAAACTAATAACCGTTTTTATGTCAGTGATACACGTTTAAAGATGAATATTTAGTATTTTAATAAGATTTCAGTTTGTTTTTAATCTTTTTGCTCCAGTTAATAAAAAGTTTCCATCTGCATCGGCTTCTTCTGCTGGGGCCAAATCTGTCAGGGGCCGCACAAAATCAGTCCAGGGGCTGCAAACGGCCCCCAAGCCACACGTTGGACACCGCTGGTACTAAATAAAATAGTTCTGCTTAAATAACAGATGATTCATGTCAGATAATTCAGTAAAAATCGTTTTATTTTCAGGATTTTTTGTTTTTAATGGAGATTTTTGACAAATTTGCATAAAAAATGAAACCAGACGAACAGGAAGTTCCTCCGGCGGCGGCGGCGCGTCGCCAGGTGGGGAAACGTCAGCCAGCCACTCACACAGGCAGAGGAGGTATCATGATGCGGGCTTGACTTCCAGTCACATGCCCCGCCTCTTCCAGCCTCTGATTGGTCCAGGATGCGTCCAATCAGAGTCCATCTGCTGGAGCAGCAGCGGCCTAGTCAAAGTTCAAACCTCAAGTTTTCATAATTTCCTGATAAACCTCAGAGGACTTCCTGTTGCCTCCCAAACAAACTTTATTTACAAGAAGAAGAGCGTCCACTGCTGACCGGACCGGACCGGACCGGCTGTCGGGTTCACTGGGTTCCGGAGGAAGAAGATGATGATGATGAAGGACAGCGACAGACGGGAAAGAAGAAGAAGAAGAAGAAGAGGAAGAAGAAGAAGAAGAAAAAGAAGAAGAAGAAGAAGAAGGCGGCACGTCTGGCTCCATCGTCTTCTTCAGCAAACCTGGAACCAGAAACACCAACTTGTTTGAAGAATTTCTACTCTTATTTACTTCCATACAGCAGTAATGACGCGTAACCATAGCAACAAGGAATTGATTTTCCACCTGGGGGGCGATCATCATCTCAAAGTGGCTAATACCTGAACTTTGACCCCAAATCAAAGAAGAGATGAAACTGTCAAAAATAATAGACACTAAAAGAGTTTAAAAGTATGGGAAGCTATTAGTATCAAAAATAATACAAGCATTAAGAGTGGAAAATGTATGGTAAAAAATGAATTGTAAACAGGATGCTGTGTTTTTCCTGGTAGCCATGTTGTGAACCTGCAGCTGTTTTATAACTGCAAAAGTATTCACACCTTCCTGAGTTCCTTTTTGTTTTATCATGTTCAGTGTTTAAAACACAAAATTCAGTTTTTACTGAAGGTGTTTATCATTTAGAGAAAAACATCAGCTGCCTGGTAACAGGTGATCTGCTCTGGTCTGCAGCTGGACTTTGACTGACCTTCTGGTCGGCCATGATGCTGCCGCCCTGCAGTGCCACCAGGGCGGCGCCGGGCCGGTCCTGTTCGCAGAAGATCGTTCCGTTGACGTAGTGGAAGCGGTCGCCGGGCACCAGCCGGTTCCTGCAGGTGGCGCAGCTGAAACACTGAGGGACAGATGTAACCGGTCAGTAACCCGTCAGACAGCAGGGGGCGCTACAGAGCTTCTGCTGCGCATCACCAACCTTCAGGTGGTAGACGCTGCCCTGAGCCCGCATCACCAGCTCACTGGCCGGGATGGACTGCCCGCAGGCGCTGCAGGCGCCGCTGTGGCCGAAGAGCCTGAAACACAGAGTCCCACATCACCATGCTGCCACCGCCAAGCCTCACAGCAGCTACCAGCTAACCTAAACCAGCTAATCTAAACCAGCTAACCTAAACCCAACCAGCTGCAATTAATCACATTTAAATCAACAAAATCAGAAACTTTTCCTGCTGCTAACTTATTGACACACGAGGAATAAATCAGATACATTTATAGTTTTTAAATCCGTTCAACCATCAAAGTTTCAGAAACTCCTGATCATTCATAGAGCTTCTTTAGCTGATTAGCATCTCAAAAGCTTGAAATAACCCCTGAACTTTGACCCCAAGTCCCAGGAGGAAGTCTCTTCCCTCCATCATGGCGGACAATAGAAGATCTTTGGCAAACAAAATGGATGAAATTCAAACCAAAAAAAAAGTTTTACATGTAATATGGTATACAATGGCTGCAGCATCGCATCCCCTGCTGCAGCATCGCAGCATCGCATCCCCTACTGCAGCATCACATCCCCTACTGCAGCATCACATCCCCTACTGCAGCATCACATCCCCTGCTGCAGCATCTCTCTAACCAAACAACCTGACAGATTTAAAGAAGAGCAGCAAAAGCAAAGGAGGTGGATTAGCAGAGCTAGCTAACGTTCAGGACATGTTACTTTGAGATAAAGTCTCTGCTGCCTGGATGTTGAGCTGTTAGCATGTCCTGTTAGCACAGTCTTCAGTCAGAGGCTTCTTCAGATTGGTTGGAAAGCTGACTGCTGCTGGAGATCCTTCCAGCCCTCAGCATCACCGTCCACAGCACCTCTTCAACTTTTAGCTTCCACTTGGACAAATCAAGTTTTATTCAATTAAATATTAAATGCTACAAATACTAGCACTGAAGCTAGTTTATAATTCCTGCTAGCATTCAGGCTAAAGGCTAAAACTTTAGCACTAAAAGTAAATGCTACAACAATAACACAGATGCTACAAATAAACTAATAAAGTTTCATTGAACTGAAATCATAGGTTGGGGGTCAAACCAGACCAGAGGTCAGTCTGTGGTTTGGACCTGACCCGGTCCGGTCCGGTCCGGTCCGGTCGGCCCGCCTACCTGATGTAGTCGTTCTTGCAGAGGATCATGCCTCCCTTGCTGTAGCAGATGCTGCTGAACTCGCCCAGCTGGGCGTGGCAGCAGGAGCATTTCAGGCAGCGGGTGTGCCAGTAGCGCTCCATGGAGAAGAGCAGGAAGCGGTCGGCGATGCGCCCGCCGCATCCCGCACACGCCCGGACGGCCGCCGCCCCGCCGCCGCCCAGCACCGCCACCGCAGGCGCCTCCAGCCTGCTGTTCACCATGGCAACCTGGAGGAGGAGATCACGGCTCAGCATCACAGCCAAACATGGACGACAATAAAATCATTTCAGGATAAAACAGGAAGATTTGATTTGATTTTGATAAGTTCAGTCATATTTTCACCATGATGTTCATTTGTTTTATTTTTTTACCTTTAATTATAAATGTTTTCTCATTGAGATCCAAGATTTCATTTACAAGAGACCAGTTTTTATAAAACAAACTAAATAATTCAGTAATAAATGTCACAGATTGAAGCCAGACATCTGAATATTTAGCCAATATGCAAACTCACTTGCAGGTAACAGGAAGCTAAATAATTAGCTTGGTATTTAAGCTAAATATTTAGTTAGCAATTCCAGTTATCTGCAAGTGATTTTACATATTAGCTAAATATTTAGCTTCAATCTAAAAAAGCCCACCAACCAAATATTCAGAATTAAACTATTTGCTAACATTTAGTTAGCAAGCTAAATATTTAGAATGGAGTTAACTGTTAACTTTGAAGCTAAATACTTAGCTTGCTAATTAAACATTTAGCTATTTAGTTATAAACTGAGACAAGTGGTGAAATTATGACTCGTGTTTTATGACGGGCTGAATAAGTTAAATTATTGCCACTGTTGTCACTCCGTAGTGCTGGCCCCGGGTCCAGTCGTTAATCTCAGGATTATTTCCTGCCGGTAGGTCAGGACTGTGGAAACATTCAGCCCAACACCTTCAGGTCCAGTTTAGACCCGGACCGTCCAGAACTCTTTTCTCCGGATAATTAATCAGTTTTACTCCTGAATCCAGCCGGGTTCTTCGCGGTCCTGCAGGAAAACGGTTCCGCTCGTTTCCAGGCACAGCTGGGAGTAATCCAGCCTCTGGCCGGCCCAGCAGTGAGTCACAACCTCTGCAGAACCAGAACCGGGTCCAGGGTTATAATTAGCAGCAACATCAAACAGCTGCAGCTCCGGTTCCTCCAGATGAGCAGCAGCAGCTGGCCCGGTTCTTCTGGAGCAGACACCTGGGTCCAATCAGCCGGAGGGCGGAACACCGAGTTAGGAAGCCCGAGGCTAGAATATAGCCGCTGACAGAACCGCCCGGACCCGGACCGGTTCGCCAGAACTGGGCCAGAATCACCGGGACGGGCCGTTTAGTTCTGCAGAACCTGGACGTTTTCAGTAAAATGGCTGCTGTAAGATATTAATTATTAAAGATGATTTTACGGTTTAAATCACTGAATAAATACGAGACTTTAGAGATGAGAAGATTTCAGAGGCTGATTTCTGAAACGGAAACATTTTGCAGAAACAACCCAGTTTTACAAAAGTTAAAACGAAAGTTTTTAAAAACTTAGGATGAGCTGAATTTTATGGAAACACTTTTTCCCATCATATAAGTCATGTGATCAACAGGAGGATGTTGCTCCTGGCGAAGATGACGAAGAGACAGGAAGTGGATTGTTTATTCAGTCACAGGCTGAAATCTGAATTTATAATCTACTTCATTCATTTCATTAAAATATTGATCTTTTATTACGGTTGGCAAAAAAACAAAACAAAAAAACCCCAGAAAAAGCTGTTTTAATTAGTTTTTTCTTTTTTTTAATTACATTTTTGAGTCCTGTGTGAACTTTGACCTTTATGATGTTGGCCAGAGGTTTTAACCCCCCCCCCCTTCCTAGTTTCGCCTGGGAAAAGGCGGGAATCGCCATGGCAACGCTCTAACAGACAGAGCCTTTCTTCCAGCGTTTTTTTTACGCGGCTGATTTAGCAGAGAGGACGTCTGGCTCGGCCCGTCCAGCGGAACCAGGACTCTGGGTTATCGGGTCAGAACCAGCTGCTTCATGCTGAGCCCAGTGACTGTCGGACGCTCCTGTTACCGCCTGGGAGCGTCACCTCGCTAATGATGCCCCCTGGTGGCCTGTATAGAAACAACCCTGTTACCCAAATGACGGACAAGAACCGGACCGAACTGGACCGGACCTCCAGGATGCTCAAACACTTTTAGCTGCTTAAAATAATAAAAAAAAACTAGAAGAAAAAAATGAAAAAGATTTTAAAATTTGTGTTTTGATGCATTGCTCACTGAGAATATTTATTAAATTCAGTTTGAAAAGTAAAAACAATCTGAACAAACATTTGGTTTGTCTTTCTGGCATTTATACAAATTTAATTTATTTATTTTCATATCATCACCTTCCTAAAATTATGGACAAAGTCATTTTTTCCAAGAGTGATTTTGGCAATAAATAAAATAAAATAAAAACTTTTGAAAAACATTAGGAAGGTGACAATATTTTTTATAATAAATGGATATAAATATTTTTAAATACTATTAGGGCGCCATACAGATAGTTTGTTGTGTTATTTTAATAAAATGTTTCTGTTTTTTATTCAAGAGAAATCCCAAACAAATAAATTATAGTTAATTTAAACTATGAAAGGTTTCTGCTTCCTGTTTCTGGCCCAGCCAGCAGACAGAAACAATAAGTTCTGGTCCGGATCGGTTCCGACTCACCTCCTGCTGGAAAAGCTGCTGCTGGTTCCGTTTGGTCCTCAGGGATCCGAACCGGCAGCCGGAGGAATTGCTCAGCGGCTGTTTTGTCCTGTGAAGGGCGGGAAGCGGAGCCGAACCTCCTCCGGTCCGTCTGCTCCCATATAAACTCCTTCTGGATCGGAACCGGACCCTGGAAGTCCGGTAGCGGGTCGCTCCTGCTCAGCGCTGCTTTTCTGCCTGAGGTTTAAATTAGACTGAAGCCACGCCCCCTGACGTCACGGGGAGGTGTGGCTCCTGCTTACGCTCCAGCTGCGGTTTCCTTCCTGGCCGCCAGAGGGAGACATTTAGATCATTTATTACCGTGAAAACACGACGATAAAGGTGTTTTAAACCCAAATACGAAGCAGAAAACATTATTTTCTGTTGATATTAAATATTAACCTATGAAATATTTCAGTAATAAAGTTAAAGAGCTTCCAAACTCCCTCTGTATTACAGGAAAAAGTGTCCTAAGAAATAATCTGCATCATTTAACTATGAAATCAAGGAGCTGAGAGAAGATCAGTTGAATTTTGACATTAATAGAACATTTAAACATTAATTATCTCTGCAAAAATTTAATCAGATCAGAGGTTTGGAATCATGACGCAGTAAAAGGAAGCTGTCGCTCTGCTGCTGGGTTTCCTCTGGTTTCTGCGATTTAAAAATTAAAATCATGATCAGTTATTCCTAAACTTGTTTTAGTAACTTTTATCCTGAATATTTCTGGAAAACAAACTGATCTGTTAGAAGGTAAAACATTAAATAATCTGATTTATCTCAGTCAGAATAACACCGAACTAGCTGGAACCATTTAATTTAGACAAAATAATTATTTCATATAAAACAAACATAAATAAAAATGTATTCTATTATTCTTTTTAGATAAATAAATAAACAAATAACAAAAAGCTTAATCAAATTGAAAATTATTTTAGATGTCATAATTGGTATGTTTTGCATAATTATTCATATACATTCTAAATGTAATTTGCTTCATGCTTTTTATTTTATTTAACCTAACACTATTTTTAAAAACCAAATATAACACATAATTCGATAAGCATCGTGTGGTTAGTAAATATTAGTTTTTATTTTCCATGTTTCCAGTTTTTATTAAAGTAAAAAAAAAAAATATTTATTTTACAGCATTTTGAATTTTCTCTTCCGCCCACTGAGCAGAGCGTGCCCTCTGCTGGACAAACTGTGATCTGCGACATTTGGTTCGAATTCAGGAAAA